TTTTACTTAGAAAATATATAGCTAAAATCAATATTTAAAATTTTATTAAAAAATTTTAAAATTTAAAAAAATTTGCAGACAAATTTGGCTGCAAAACAATTTAAGAGATAATATTTTCTAAGTATTTCTATTAGGTTGCAGAGTTCTGTGTTGTCTCAGAGGTTACAAAAAAAGTGATCCTTTGTTGCAGAATTCAGGTTTTGGGGTGTAGATAGTAGTGCTGGTTTAGCTAGGGGCAAATCAAAGTATACTAATGACATTCTCTATATATCGTAATATTTTATTAATTTTTGTCTATATTGCACTAAATATTGGAGTCTGGATCTTTCTGTTATAGAGAAAAGATCTCATACTTCCGGATTCAATTAAGCCAGGCATCAGGTAGTTTTTTTAATGGGTTTTTGAAGTATTCAAGTAGGAGCTTCTAAATCTATATATCTTTCTTAGGGCAAAAATTATAACTTAAGTTAATTTCTTTTTTTGTATTAGGAGCAAAAAGATAGTATTTTAACTATATAGCTTGATATTTTATTAGGGTTTTTGAGTAGTAGCTCAAGTAAAATTGTACATGCTGTCTCAATTTGCCTTCTTATGCCTTTAAAATATTGGTCATGTTTGATTTTGGCAAAATTCATTAAATAGAAAATATAATGAGTATATTCATGAGAACTTGTTATAAGAAAATCAATATTATAGATGAAATCAATAGCCAATTTTGTCTTTAGTTTTGTGAATAGTTGATTTCTATTTGTTTTGTTAATAAATATTGATTTATAGACTTGTTTATATTTTTCTAGTGCTGTCTGAAATAGAGTATTAAATTCTTTTTAGTGTAATGGTTGTAGGTTCTTATCTTTAGCAAAGGAGCAAAAGAAGGCTATATCTAAATATAACAATTTTTGGTTTATTGCATTGGGTATATTATGTACTGTTGGACAGTATTGTATATAAGACATGTTCACATTATATAAAACGTTCAACGTCTAAAATTGTCCAAAATCGTCCAAGCCTATATCCTATGTTTAACTAATCAATAAAGTAATTTTAAAAAATATATAATTATATATTTTTTTAGATACTAAACTCATTGGTGAAAAAATTAAAATAGATTATTTTAATAAAATTTTGAGTAATTTTAATTTGAAAAAATGTTTAAAATTGTCCAAAATTGTCCTATATACAACACTGCTGTTGGGTGTGTTTTGATCTTATGTTTAAAAAATTCAAGAAGATCGTCTTCTAAATTCAGTACTTTTAGTATTTTGTTTATATGCCAACTTTGGCTGTTGAAATCCATCTGATATATTTTAGCTAGTTTATTAGTAACTGTGTTTGCCCAGACGATAGATGTTTTATTTTTCTTCTTGATAGATGCAAATATATTTTTCTTGACTGCTTTGCTATATGAAATTTTAGGTTGAGATTCAATGATTACATTAGATTTTAAATCAATATCCTTGTCTTTTGATTGGATATTATTATCTGAGGCCTTATTTAATTGCAGGATTAGTCTCTGGAGATTTGCTATTTGTTTTGTTTTCAAAAGAGTAGTGTTGTTGTTGATTTTCATGTGGGTTTGCAAAATACTATGAGAATTTATATTGTCATTTCCTATGTTTGTTTTGTTGATCTCTGGTGATAATATCATAAATTCCTGGGTAGAGAATATAGCACTTTTCCATTTTCGGCTTACTGTGATAAAGTTTATTGAGTAGCAGGTGGTACAAGAGTTGGTTGGGACTCATTAGTTAAAGACATATCAATAGCAGTAGTCTTAGTTTTCTTTGTTGGCTATGATATTTTAGTATTGTTAATAGATATAGTGAGTAGATTTTCATCTGACTCCTATGGAGAGTCTATCAGACAAAAAGAAGAGTTTTGCAATAGAAAGAAAATCTTGAAGACTTGTAAAGTAGTGAAGCTTTGAGACCTGTTCCTTTTGAAAGCAAGCTTGGGATCTTTAAATAATAATGATGTTTTGTAACCTTTTTGCTATTTGATTATTTGTTTTTATAAAATTTAATTTTTAAAGATAAACAGGAAAGAAGTTATATAATATATTATATATATATATTTTTTATTTTTATTTTTTTTAAATTTGGCAATCCTGCCTTTATTGTATAAAAAATATATAATCAAATTACATATGTTTCTAGCTAGTGCCAACAACCCTTTTTTTTCTTCAATAAAAGCTCACCCAACTGCTTAAAGGTGTTTAAATATGATTTGCTGCAGCAATAATTCACTTCTCTCTAGCATCTAACTTGCTAAATGACTTCTCAAAAAAATTACTAAAAGCTTACTACTAGCTTTGTCAAGATTGCCTTTTTCTTAACATTTTCTTTCTTCAAAGAGGTATAGAAAATGAGAAAAATAAAAAAAAAACAACAAAAAGAAAATGAATACAACAAAAAAAAGGGAAAAAAGAAAAAACAAAAAAAAATAAACAACAAATACAAAAAGAAATATAAAAAGAAAATGCAAAAAAAAAAAAAAAAAAAAAAAAGATAGCAAAAAATTCTGTCTATTGGCACTATTCTAACCTATTTCTGGTTAAAGTAAAAATTATATAACAACTACAATAGTTATATATCTCAATGTAAAGCAAGCTTTAATATGTATACCATCTGACTATTGATCTACTTTGGATACTTTATTAACCAGAGACCCCAATTCAGATCACATAGAGTAGTATTATATTTGCAAGTAAACAAGACATGTAGTTGTATTCTACTGAGTTCGTCCAAATTTGAAATATAAACAATGCTAATCTTTTGGAGAAGATAAGCAAATATAAACAATGCTAATCTTTTGGAGAAGATAAGCCAAATTTCCCACATTTTGTAAAAAATTTTGAAAGGCTGGCAGGAAATTGAAAGTGAGTAAAAGAGGAGTTACTTGGCCAAGTAAAAGAGTGCAGCTTAAGAATAGCAAGTTCTTTACTGTTTTCTAGTTATTTAGCACCAGAATACTTCATTGATGGAAGAAAACCATATTCTCTACCAAAATTTTATATGTAAGTACACACTTCCTCAGCTAGTTATCATGTATAAAGACACTTTCAGCTTGCATGTCAAATACTATATATAAAAGAGTTCTTGTAACAGTATAAAAGATTAATTTTTATAAAAACTACTTTGTTGTCTATCTACTACAGATCTTTTCTACTCTCCAGTATCCAAACTTGACTTTTCTTTTATGGAAAATTTTGGTTCAGATAATCATCGGGAAAAGTATATTTATACCTTTGAATAATATATTATATACAATTAAATTTTTTTTTTTTTTTTTTTTTTTTTTTTTTAATATTGAGGTGATCACTTAGGCCCCTGGTACTTTATTAGTTCAAACGGGTGGGCCGTCTGAAGACTGGCTTACATATTACATCAGTATAA